ACAGTTCGGGATACCCTATAAATACCCAATAGACTGCCATACCATCTGGAATACTTTACAGAATGTCTTATAAAAACCCTATGAATGATACCCCCCCTTATACCTTGTACATGCCCTTGAGAATCCCCTTTGGGATATCCGACAGAAACCGTGTAGATCAGGATTTACTTAGGGTAAATCAGAAGGAGCCCAAGCTTTATGCAGCTTATTGAGCAAGGGACATCTATGAAAGAAATGAGGAATAAAGGAGAACAGCCTGTAGAATACCTTACAGAATACCCTGCCTACAAACGGTAAATAAACTCATGTAGAATACGAAAATATGATAATACCTTATAAAATATTCTATATTCCCTATACACCTTGTACACCCAAGATCTGAGAGTTCCCCAGTCGAATGTGGTTTATTTGGTAAGGGATTCATATCAAGGAATTGCGGAACATAGGATCTAGAAATTGCTTGAAAAATCGATGCTTATTTGGCAACAGATACATACAGAGAACAAAGCTCTTTTGAAGCACATGCTGCACATACCCGAAAGAATGCAACCTTTAAACTACCTTATAGCATGTGTTTTATACAATTCCACCGATTTACCCTACATACACCTTATAGAATACCGTCTGTGATACACTGTAGGATGCTTTGAAGAAGAACGCCTCTCTTTGATACATCCTGTATACCTTATGCGTGCCATATAGAATACATATACGGTACCATTGTGGATACCCTTTAGAATCCTTTATACAAAACCTTAAAAAGTACCTTATAGATACGGACTTTAAATATGGAAAGCCAGCCGGAGCCCAAGATCTGAGAATTTTCAGTTGAATTGCAGCTTTTGGGCAAGGGATTCCTATGAAGAGATCAGGAACCAAGAAGACCATCCTTACAACTACCTTATAAAATACCCTCTCTATGCACCTGAATGAATTTCAAATAAAATGCACTACAGAATACCTTCCTACATATAGGCCGCAGAATGCCTTTTGTACATACCTTATGGAGCACGCTCTAGAACACCGTATAGAATGACGGATAGAATACGATCCTTACAGAAGACCGCCTATGGAGTATATCCTCTGTATACCTCAAATATCCTCAAGTATACCTCATAGAATATCCTCTAGAATACCTTTTAAGATACTATTTAGAACAACTTATAGTATGCCCTATAGATCACGGTTCAAAAAAGGAACATCAGGAGGAGCGCGCCGTGAAATAGCGTAGCATACAGAGGACAGTAGACAATACTTCATGGTATTGTCTTGGTTCGAACGGTGTAGTGTCGTCGTAGACAGGGAAGACTACGCAGTATATAACAGTTTTGTTCGGAGTGGAGTCGTAACGTCGTCTAGACAGTACAAGAAGAGGCTTCGAGGTAGGTCCTGGGGGGGGTGGGGGTAGCATATATATATATATATATATATTTTTTTTATATATTTAGATCTATTTATTTATTCTTTAACATGTTTTTGACGGTGTGCCGGCATACACTTTGAGCATTTGGAAAGATTGGGGTGCTATAAAGGGCCGTTGAGCAAGGGGATCTGGACGCCGATGGGAAACTTGTTGTGTGCCCTACTCTGCCTTAGCCATAGGGTGTTGGATTTGATCCCAGGCTATTCAGATTCTGCTTTGTCTGCTTAGTCTCACCGGGCTTCCTATGCAATATGCGAGTGCGCTTGACGCGCGAGGATAGCGGTCGCTTCCCTACTCTTTACCCTTCCGAAACGAAGTCATATCTATCTGTCTATCTATATATATATATAGTATAGATCTGCCATTCGTGAGTTTGCGTGCCGGACCTTTGAGAAGGAAGCCGTGTAAGGAATACTTTGCGATCTTCAACGTCGCGTACAAGTTGGTCGTTGGGTTCGCTGCCGTCGGCATTATCAACGCAGTGTTTATGCAGGAGACGTTCAAGGTGGCCTCATCCGACGACAATGTCATGATGCGGCAGAAGGATCGGGCTCGGCTTACGTCAATGCTTCGCTTCTCGTTTCTGATGCAACAAGGCAGACGTTGGACAGGCGCACAAAGCGGTGAGACCCACTTGAATGTTGCCAGGAGCGTGATTTGCGATTACATACGAAGAAGATGAAGACTCTGTTCGAGGCAGCTGATGAATCTGGTGATGGAGTCATTGCAGCTTGGCTTTGTCAGTAGGGTTATTGAGCGGGAGCAAGGTTCAGACCGATCAGATTTGTCCAAGGACCTTGACGAGTTTAGAAAGATTTTCGAGCTGGAAGAGATCAGGACGTGCCCTCCAAGGGCTACATCTGTGCCTTCAAATCACTGGCATGCAATACGCTGGCCTGCAGTTAGTTTTTCAACCTGAGAGACAACAAAGGTGTCACAGCAGCTTAGTCCATCGCCCAAGTGGCGAAGCAGTGTAAAAATATTTTGCCGTCAGTTCGAACATGTGACCCCACATGTACTTCAATCAGGTAGCACGGGTAAAGGGCCGCTCAGTCTCCGGGCCGACGCCGTTGCTTTTGCCAGATAAAAGCCCTCGAGAAGGTCGCATTTCTGAGATCGGGGGGAGTGTCATCGGGTGCCATGTACCCATCGAGCCAGAACCTACCCAAACGCATCTGGAATCAGCTGGAGACAGAGCTTGCAGGAAACATGTTCAGCGACCGATGCAGCTTGTCACGCATAAGCCTCCCACGTACGTGAACACCAAACAGACGAAATAGTCGAAACAAGCAATGCCAGCATGAAAGTGCAAACCGACGAACTGCCATACCGCCGATGCAAACCCCAGCCTTGAAAGCATCAAACCACCTACGCACGGCCAGAACCCCCGAGAGAGGTGTGGCAACCTGTCCTGTAAACATGACTTCACTACAAAAGCCGTGGCGGCCCTCCCACAGAGAGTCGAGCCACAGCATGGCACACTACTGCCGGTAGATAGAAGCCCGCACGAACAAAAGTGCTTCTGACCGGAAGGACTTGGCTGTCTGCTCAAGACCTACCGGTTTCGAATCCAGACCTCCTCTTCAGGCTGCTAGACGGCTACCAGAGGTGAGCATGTTGATATGGTGTCCTGTCCATTTGGGGGCTGCCGGCACCAGAACAAAGTTAGCTAGTGAGCATGTTGATACGTGTGCCCTTTGTAAGAACGGAATCGCTGACAGAGCATGAGTGGAGATGTCCCGTTTTGCGAGAAACTGCTAAATCTTTACCTGATGTGATTTTCTGTGCAATCGCTTGGCCCCGCCCGGGGCTTGAAGAAGATGTTGAGCTCATGTGTGAGCTTGCTCGTGTACGCCAGAAGGTCCGAAGCCACCGTTATGGGGACCCTAATTCTCATGAGATGTGACTGACGTCTGTGTGTGGGGGCGCTCCTCACCATTCTTGCTTGCAAGGCTTCTCATGAGTTGGCATGCAGTCATTGAGTGAGGGATGCTCAGGCTGTTGGACGACGGCGACGGAGGGCTGACAGCGGATTCTGGGGCTGAGAATGTTGACGGCGTCGATAGATTTATTTGAGTTGCCCTTCGGCCCAGGAGGAGTTGGTGAAGGGCGTCGATCGCCTGAAGGGCTCCGCCAAGGGTTCCTTGGACTTGAGCACTGCCATGCACGGTGCAGACACGGCCCTAACATGATGCAACATGGTTGTTTCGTAGAGACGTCACAGACGACATGCGCCGAGGGATGGACTTGGAAGCCTTTGTCATGGAACACCGTGCCTTGTACTGACGCATGAATCGAAGCGGACTTTTCGGTCTGAGGTGCAAAATTGGAGTGTGGAATAACATGTTGTTGGTTTCGTCGGGATTTTCACTCACAACGAAGGGCATGAGAGGCATTGTTTGAGTTTGCTGAAAGTCCCTGCTTCGGACGGTCATCTCTTAAATCTGGCTGCGATGTTCCCTTCTCAACCCTTCCCGTTCGGCTGCTTCTCAGGTGCCTTCGCGAGGGAGGTTTTTTCAAAGCTTGACATGTCTGAAAGGGGTCGTGGCATCGCCGCAGATGCAGCGAGTCTACCACTTTAATTCCTGAAAGCTCCGGATGGTCCAGGCATCAAGTTTTCAGTTGTCTAGGGCCAGCAGAGAAGAGTGGAAGTTCACGGGCTGGCATGCCGGTCTTGTTTCGGGAATGCCACATGCACTGCTAGCGCACGTTGTGAATTCTTCGTGCATCTACCGACCCACGAGTAATTCCATAGAACAGTTTTTTCGTTCCATTGTGCAACAAGTAAGTTCCACTCTCTGGGTTTTGCAGAAGAGGCTGCATGCTGCTTTTTCCGTGCACCTGCTTTTAACAAATTCATGGGGCAAGAACCAGCACGTGGCTGTATCCATCTCGTGAATTCAAGCCACGGTGCTGCACTTTGTAGAATTTTAGAGCCACAAGGCTCTGCATGTCGCCTGTTGGCTGTTTTGTCTGCGATCTCTGAAGGAGTTTGCGCAGACCGCCGCAAACTTTCAAGTCCCAGACAACAGTGGGATTGGTCGTCCAAACATGCTGTGCTGCAGAGGGCCAGGTGTTCTTTCATTTTGTTGCTTAAACCCTCCAAACGAGCTCTTGTAGACTTTGCTTTTGGGCAAGGGCAGAGTTTCGAGCATTCTGTGATTGTGTGTTATGTGCGAACATGTGCCAGCCTTAACCATGGCATGACATGCAGCCGTTCATATCTCAGATCTCAAGTTGAACGAAGCAAAATCAGTGCGCAAAGCTTACTTCCGTCATGATTCAGGTGACTGGGATTGCAAGTCTGCATGCCGTTTGAAGAGAGTCGGAAGCGGAAACCCTGGTCATAAGTTCCCTACTGGCTTTGTGTGGGGCATGTCTTCCCGTTCAGCTAGCGAGCGGGGGGCATGCTTCGGGTCAGATGTTTGCGTGGGGATGGCACTGATTCGTAAGAACTGCAAGGAGCTTGTCTTTGCCCTTCCTCAATTCCCGGAAAGACGAGCGTTTGAACTCTAAACCGGAAGTTCAGACAACTGAGCCGCTTTCTGGTGATTACGTGGCTGGCCGGGCCACTTGGATGGCTCGCCGGTGGTCCCTGCGTCCAAGCATACAAGGCAAGCTGATCGACGGCAAGTTCCGGATCTCACATCAGGCCGATCCACACGAAATGATCTTCATACATCCGTACAAAAACTTTACGCGACTGAGGGCAGTTTACAGAGCCATCTACCACAGTGGCACTGGATTCTCACAGGTGCCCGGACTGCAAGCAATACGTCGAATCAGCCCCAGAAGCAAACATGGGACTGCACATCCTCCGACTTTCGCTTCTCCGCTTCTGTCTCCACCTCTGCTTCATCATCACCATCATCACCACCACCTCGAGTCTGCAATGCCAGTTGCGCGTTTCCGAGCAAGACGCCATCACAAACCTGAACTGGATTCTGGCCGTTCAGGAGTTGGCAACCATTTCGGCTGGCCGAGACGCCCATCAATATCACCAATTCAAGCGACTCGACAGTGGTTCGTGAGGCCGCGGTGGTTCAGAGTTGTGGCGAGTCAATGCCTCTTACCTTCATCCTGATCATTCAGGTGGAGCGATTGTTGGGCAACAACTTGGTGGATGATGCAGGTGAGGTGAACTCAATGCCCGAGCCGCACGAGGCCTCCGGCGAGAAGAGTCGAACTGCTCACCGAATGCAGAATTTTTGGGTAGCTGCAGCGGTTTGCACCCACTGCCAGAAAAACGCCAGTAATGGCACTGCTAACGGGCTTCGCCCTTGAGAACCCGTGCGGACTCAGTCTTAAGGACAAGAACGACCGCGCAATCTTGAACCCAATGTCTGGGCTCAGGCTGGGTGTCACGGGGCGTCCTCGGCCAGCACGATAACCTCATGGGCTGAAGCTGTGGCTTCTGGAACTGCTTGCACTACCGTTCCTCTGCACTGCCCTTTCAATTCTGCCTTGGCCTCCGGTTGGGTCGGTCAAGCAGCAGCTGCCGCCTGCGATTTGCTGGGAGGGCCGCCTCACCGTACTGCGGCCGAGTGCGTAGTCTGTTGTTCCCAGGTCATGAGAGGCTGGGCCGTCCTTGTCTCTTTCCCCGATGCATGTCGTCTTATGCAGTAGCTGTCAGCTTCAGCTGGCACGGAGTAGCTGCAGGATGTGGACCCGCAGAAACATTACGAGGCTCGTTGAGCTCCTCGTCTTTGAGAAACTGGCCAGGTCTCAGCTCTTGCCCCGTTTGCCCAAGACCATTTTGATACGTCACACCGCGTTGTTGAGGCGAACGGTGCATGAGTCCACCTCAGAACAGCGCACAGAAAGAAATCCCCGAGAGAACGAAGCCCAACTGTGGGTAAGTCTTCTGCATCGCGCAGATGCGCCGTGACTGCACGAGGTGCGTGGAGCTTGCGGCTTGAGCACGGGAGTCAGGAGTGCAAGGTATTGCATCCAGGCCACGGTTGGAAGGTTGGCTCTTCGTCAAGCTTGCCTTCAGCTGTCTGCCCAAGACCATTTTGACACGTCACACCGCGTTGTTGAGGCGAGAAGCGAACCGACCTCAAACAGCGCACTGAAAGAAAACCGCGAGAGAACGACGCCCCACTTTGGGTGAGTCTTCTGCATCGCACAGATGCGCCGTGACTGCATGAGGTACGTGGAGCTTGCGGCTTGAGCACGGGAGTCAGGAGTGCAAGGTATTGCATCCAGGCCACGGTTGGAATGTTGGCTCTTCGTCAAGCTTGCCTTTGGGGCTTCGCGGATCTTCGCGGCTCGACGGAAGTGGAGAAGTGTCGGAAGGACATGTAGGGTTATCGGAGAAAGATTCAGAACAAGTGCTGCCTGGTTTCTATCACATGAATCATGTACCCCATCTTTGCAAAGGCGTACTGTAGCCTTCAGTTTTTGACGCCTGGGAGGAGAGACCTCGTCTTGGGCGCGGAATGGAGCTCGCTGTGGCGACTCCAGCGATTTGGCATGTTTGCCTGCACGCCCCTGCAAGTCTGTTGAAGCTATTTCACGAACGCGACCAGTCAAAAGAGGATTTGTTGCAAGAGGTGTCAAGGGATGGCTTCAGGCGTAGGCTTCACGAATCTTGGTTTCGGAACCAAGGACAGGACAAGTCCATGAAGCTGCCAGTGATCCCTTCGAAACCGTTAGAAAGCCGTTGCAAAACTTCGATGTAAGACTTTCAGCAGAATCCGCGGTTCGAGTAAGACTTTCAGCAGAATCCCCGGTTCGAAGCTTTGTCCCTTCGCAGCTCGTAAGTTCCAAGCCTGGCGAATCTCGCATCTTTCTTCGCTCACAAGATCAGGACATCTTCAATGTGAATTTTCGTTGTCGCTTCCGGCTTTCTCTATTGTCCACGGGCTGTCCTCTTTCATGTCTCCGAATTGCGGTTTGTCGCTGTGATCTCGAAGGCCCCGTTCTGGGCTGTAGCTGCTGGTGTGGACAGCTCAACTGAACACGATTTGTGGCTTTGGGTTCGTATTTTGACGAGGAAATGGTGTGAATTCAGTTTGATTCCTACAGGCTCGAGAACTTGGACGATATTTATGATATTTGGGACATACTCGTAGTAGTTTCCATCTGAGTTTCCATTGTTAGTAGTGGAAGATGAAACGGGAACTATAGTAGTTTCCGTTTGGTTTTCCATTATCAAGGCTCCAAACAAAAATTATTTTATTTTTTTGCCTCCAGGCCCTGCAGAGGAGACCTGGAGGCTACTAGTTATTTTGGGAAGCCTCTGCCGCTTTAAGTTTAGATTCGCTCCCGCATGCGCGCACGGTGCATATAGTTGACAATTGAATTCCGGTATAATTTATTCATCAAGATC